ACCTACTCACGACGGCTTGTGCCCGCCCTCAGTCGGGCATATTTGCGGAATACACCACGCGCCGTTGACCCTGGCCATTGACCGAGCAACCCAACGTTCCTACCAGCTCCCTCCGCAGGACAATGTGTTTAAAAACTCTGCACTAAAACACATTGGTAAGGTAACATTTGAGTTCAGAATTCCAAAAGGTACTCCGACACGCTCTCATCCACACTCTCCCTGTTTGATAATATTGATCCAGGTCCACCTTGAGCACCTGCCCTCGGCACACACGGCCGCCGTGCGTTGTGTCCAGTCTACGCGATCAAATGCCACCGCCAGGGATGGAGCAGAGCATGAAGAATGAAAATAGCCACTAAACTCACGAACTTACGAGGACAATGACGTGTCGGAAAGTGTTACCGAATCCGTGCGTGTGCAAGGTTTTTCTTCCCCCCTGTTGATTATTTAGCGCAGCTCGGCAACTGCGAGCTGTTTACGTCGGCGTGCACGGACGGCAAGGCTGTAGCAAATCACGCTTCGCTCGATTCCCGACTAGGCCCGTCAGTAGTCCCACCCCTCGCTCTCAGCTCTCCAACGCCGGTCACGCTGCATACACCACTATTGATCTATCGCCCCTTCCAGTTTACTTAGAGAACTTCAAAATTCCCGCTGTGGCAATATAAATACACACTCAAGCGCACTCTCGTACATGAACTGCAACAGCTGCCATTGCTATTAAGTTATTGTGATGTCACCATGACGACTGCGCCAGGCTAGGTGCATTTCGAGAGCACTTCAACTGCTGGAGAAGGCTAGCCGACAGGGATTCATTGAACAGAGGCAGGTATTATGGGTGGCTTCTTCCTTCTCTATTTCTTTCATACGGCCAATGTAGATGCAGAGCGACGACTACAATTTCACATTCAGGTAGTCATGCCAGATAACCGTGTCGGAAGCAGCGGAGGAGTGCATCATTGCTCCTCCGTTGTTTGCGGATAAATAATAATAATAGTTCAATTTGTAACGCGCGCAAATTTGCAGACGTAGTGGCCGCAACTCAGAGGCGCGGAGCCAAGCTCAGAGTCGCTCGAAAGCATGATTGTAGAGGTGAGTTTTTAAGTTTCTCTTGAAGGAGGCGATTGAGGTGATGCTGCGAATATGCAGAGGGATATCGTTCCAGACTGTTGGGGCTGCCACCGAGAAGCGTCGCATAGACATGACCATCCTAGATCTTGGTATCAAGAGGAAGATCGGGGCATTGCGTCGTTATGCGTTGTGCTGCGGTCCGTTCTGGATGACCACAGTCGCACACTACTACCGGAGAGTTTTTAACTTTCCATTTTAGCATCAGGTATCCGCGGCTGCCATGGTTCTTGCGGATGCCGTTTAAGGTGGACCATGAGCTTCGTGGAAGATCGCAACCCGGTAATCTTCCGCGTTGGGTCTATCACAAGGGTCGCTGATCTCGAGCGAGCAGGAGCAACGCACCAGCTGTGCACGCCCCATATCAACTCTCCGTGTTTCATGCATCATCACCAGTTGCCTCCGCTGGATTTCTACGAGCGTCGCTCCGCAGTCGCCCGTTGTGGCTCGAGAGGGACTGCCACTAAGGCCACCCAGGGGCATATCGTCATCCGCAAGCCTACGCCAGATGCCCAAGCTGACACCGCTGGCAAGAACAACAGAGACGACGTTTCCCGGTAACCACAAATTGTCCAATCCCGATTGGTCGATGACACACCTGTTTATTGGGTCCGCTCTTGTTCAATCGAACACGAGCCGTTTTGGCCATGCAATGGCTTGGCAAGCTGGCCTACACGGACCAGCCAAACGCAGTCTCACCTGTCGGAGGGGAGCCACAGGGATTTAGTGAAGAGCTCTCCTGTACTTTACCTTGAAACCGCTTGCACAATCGAAGTATCATGAACACAATACGCAGCATCGACCAAGCCTCAACGTTCCCGAAGCTGGTACGTACGTTCCCCCCCTCCTCCTTCAAGGGAGCTCCGAGTTTCACATGCGAAACGAGGGCCATCGCTGCGGCCAAAGAGACCCGGGGAGTGGAACAACAAGCCGGGCAGCTTCCTCGCAGAGCGCGGCGTGAAGACACGCACGCTCCCCCCGTGGTGACGAGGACACACGCACGCACACCCACACAAGCGCACGCACACGAACGTTAAGTCGTGAAAGCGACATAAACAGGCTTGACCAGAAATGTTTAGAGAAAGTGCCCTAAAAGAAGACAGCTTTACGGCTTCCCAGCCCCTCTTCATCACAAGTATGGCCCATAAAGCAGCAGAAAGATAAACTAGCCTTGCGGGGGCCTGCATGCAAGGCTACGGTCACGTGCTGCCCATGTCCCAGACCAGGTGGCCCAACACAACCACGACACTTCCACTGTAACGACGGTGCATTCCTGCTACACCCCCTTGGTATGTACAAAAAAAATTATAATCTAACAAAAAAAAATACATCTTACACCGACACACGCGCGACATACGACCGAACAAATGACCACCGAAGGAAGATGGTATTCTCATTTGACACAAGAGGCTCGTCTTCGGAATGTTTGACGAGAAAGACTGTGCTCTGAAAAATGCATCACCGTTACGGCATAGCCAACGCAATAAGGGAACTAAGACAAAACGGAGAAGCTGAGAGCAAAACGTGAAAAGATGTGCAAGAACAAAACAGGAGATAAGTTAACGACAAATATTTATCGTTACAAAAGACGTCCCTTTAAAACCACCGTGACGTTGTTTTGAAGTGCAAATGCCATCGTACAGAGTGTACCAAAGGCAGCGTGACAAATGGCCAATGAGAAGCTGAGTGAAACACGACTTAGCAGTGACCTGCGATGGAAGTCGGACACCTTTACGAAAATATATATTCAGATCCCATTAGTGTGGGGGGGGGGAGGGGGGTGGTGGTGGTGGGTACTGCCAGCAAAATTTCCTTTCGCACCGTACGTAGCCGACCGTGCTAATCGAAGGAGCAGGGGAACGACAAATGAAACACAAAAAGCACTTCCAAAGAAATGTGTTTTCATACAAGGTCCAATCAAGAACGGCGCGACTCAAAATTTTGTGGGCCAAGCGGAGACACGTTAGTAACGCTTGTTCTCTAATTCACAAGCCGGGAGGGGGGGAAAAAGCGTGGAAAGATGTACTGTGTGTTTGACTAGGCCTGGATTTACCCATACCTGTACCAAAACAGGAGGGATTATATCCGTAAACACCATTAATTGCTGGGTAATATTTAGATCTTTCGAATAATTTAAAGCTTTGTTGTAAAAGTGACAGAGAACATTTTAAACACATTAACAAACAGTACAAAAAAACGAACTTTCAAGAGCTTACAGAAACAAGGCAATAACATTTTGGTCAAAAAAAAAAACGGATAATAAAAACGTTTGGATCGAATATAAGTGTTATTTTTTTTGGTTATTTGAGGACTTGAGGTCAAGAGGTCATTCATGGAGTGCCACCACACCTGAGCACTGCTTCTTTTCACCCACTGCTATCCCCCCCCCTCATCCCCCCCACCGTATCCCCGGCCCCCCCCCATCATCCTCCTGCCCCCCACCGTCCCCCCCTCCACCGAACCCCCGCCCCCCCCCCCATCATCCGACCCCCCCCCACCCCCCGTCAACCGTCTCTTCTATACGGGATAAAATGTCGCCACGTGACGCGGGGGGGGGGTTCTCTCCGGGTGCGCCGATGTCCTCTCACTCGCGCTTGTTCGTTGCCTGAAGTACATTGTAGTATATATGTGTGTGTATAGAGGGTTGTCGGGCTTCGGGGCAACTGTCTGTATCGCCAGCTAACCCGCCCTGGCTGCCATTGCATCTTGTCTGCGGCTCCTCAAGGGACCGTGACAGAGGCAATTTGCAATGAACGACGGCGAAGCTCAATCAACTTCAAGGACAGTGCAAATGATTATCATCATCAGAGTTGTTTCTTTTTGTTTGCATTTTGACCGCTTGTGTTGTGGTTATTGCAAACATGATGCCTTGTATAAAGGTGTCAGTTTTTGTACCAGTTGAAAGGGTAAAAACCTATCACTATATTTTGCCACTGGTAAAGGAGATGTCTCATAGAGTAAAAACATTACTATTATATTGAACAATTTAAGGAGCGAATAGTGTGCGTTAGTGCACACAAGGCCACAGATGAATAAACACAGAACAATCTCGGGCTATTATATAATATTTCTATTTGTTACATACATTATTTTGTTCAAATTGCCATTCAAGAACCCAGGATACTAAGAATATTTCAAAAAGTGGGTGGAAACCAGCGAGTAACGTCTAACAAAAACTCGGCTTAATACATCCCCCTTTAAAGTACGGGATCGACCGTGGGACTCCGAGGCTCGCCGCCCCCTCGCGGTCAGGGAAACAATCGGGAGCAGCGTGTTTAACGTACATTGTTGAGATGCAGTGACATGCAGGACACGTTGTTTCTGCGTATCTATTTTGTCATCCTTGTCGCCACCCCCCCGCCCCCAAAATCCCTCATCCTAAAATCACAAACCACTAAGCCACGTTGGAACTTTAGAGGATCGCTGACTGAAAGTGGTTTGCCAAATACCTAAATGAAGCTTCAAATCAAGTTTTTTAAAATTTACTTTACCAAGTGAGGCCCACTGAGCTATGTAGCTCTATTTCAGAAGTGACCCAGCCACCACAAATGATAGCTCAACGAAGTGGCTTTATAGCAGCCAGAGACCCGAAACGCTTGATGTTGTTTCTAAATGCGGAGAGAGAAAAACCAGAGGACCTGGATAAAAATCCACACGACCACGGGGAGAGAGACACGCACACTCCAAATATACAGGCGTCAGGGTCGGGATCTCTTGCATACCAGGCGAGGTAACATGAATATAAAGCCCGCCATGCTTAAAGAGAGTTGGTGGCGCGGCATTTGAATAGTTTGTCAAATGAAAAGCGATAGGAAACAAGGGCCACGCCTAGCGCGCAACGGTGCGGTGAAGACCCCGACCAGACATCGGCTCACCTTGGGCACATGGGGGTTGAACTCCACAGCTCTGTGAATCGCCTCCACTGCGTTCATCTCTGCTGTGCTCAGCCCCCGCTTGGAGGCCGTCTCTGGGGAGAATCTGCACACGGGGAAAGGGGGGGGCACACGGGGGGGGGGGCAAGCGGGAGGAGTGCCGCACCATTACCGGCCGATCAAATCTTAATTCCTTAATTCCTAGATTTCAGTGCATGGGCCGCGGGCCTTAGAAAATGCGGCCAGAAGTACTGAGCCGTTGTGAAAACAGAAAACTGTCCACAAAGTTTTTTCCCCATCAAAAAACTGATTTCGGAGAGTCAGATGGGACTCTACGAGCGAAACGAAGACGTTTTTAAACCACTCAGGGCTACAGAGACCGGCACGGCGGCTGTGTGTGCGAGTCCTACGCTTGGCGTGCGCCAACGCAGTTCAGCACTGCGCTCTCGCTCCTAGCAATGTCCTCACTACCAGTACTGCCCGCACTCGCAGCACAAGATGGGGGCCTTGACAGTTGAGCACACAGTGGCAGGCGAGACACAGAAGCCATCGCAGCCTGTGTCACCACCATCACCATCACAGCCAAGATCATCACCCACCACCACCACTATCACCATCACAGGTGGCATGACCATCACAGGTAGCATGACCATCACAGCTGGCATCACCACCGCCACCATAACAGCCAACACCACCATGACCACCACCACCATCACAGCCAGCATAACTACCACCACCACCACCAAAACAGCCAACACCACCATCACCACCACCATCACAGCCAGCATAACCACCACCACCATAACAGCCGACACCACCATCACCACCACCATCACATGCAAACTACTCACTTGTCGCAGACCGCCCTGGCTTTGAGCAGCGCTGCTGTGTAACATATTGTTGCTGATTTTGGCAAACTTATGTCTGCAACAAGAGTACAAAAACACAGACACACACACAACAAAATTACAAAAAAATACAACATTGCACGTGAAAATAACTATATACACAGCAGCGTTAATGATCTGCATCGCGTATCAGCGTCAAGTCTACTCAAAACACAAACTGAACCCGGGTAGAATACGCCACGGAACCAGGCGTCAATGCAAGTCCGAGCGAAGAAGCCTTCAATAGCGAAAGGCGCGACATAGATCCGTGTGGCAAGAGGCAGAATCGACGAAAGAGGCGTTGGCGGACGCTTGGTCCGGCCTTAACGCAACCACTCCTGAGACGGTGAGGGCACGGAGAGCGGCCCCCTCTCACTGCCCTCAGTCCCAGTGCCACCCTCACTGCTGCCCTCACTGCCCTCAGTCCCAGTGCCACCCTCACTGCCCTCAGTCCCAGTGCCACCCTCACTGCCCTCAGTCCCAGTGCCACACTCACTGCCCTCAGTCCCAGTGCCACCCTCACTGCCCTCACTCCCAGTGCCACCCTCACTGCCCTCAGTCCCAGTGCCACCCTCACTGCTGCCCTCACTGCCCTCAGTCCCAGTGCCACCCTCACTGCCCTCAGTCCCAGTGCCACCCTCACTGCCCTCAGTCCCAGTGCCACACTCACTGCCCTCAGTCCCAGTGCCACCCTCACTGCCCTCACTCCCAGTGCCACCCTCACTGCCCTCAGTCCCAGTGCCACACTCACTGCTGCCCTCACTGCCCTCAGTCCCAGTGCCACCCTCACTGCTGCCCTCACTGGCCTCAGTCTCAGGTTGAGGGTGCAGTGGCAGATGAGTGAGTCACACGGTGGTAGAGACACAGGAGTTAACACAGGCGGCATAATCACCATCATCAAAGCCGGTATCACCACCATCATCACAGCTGGCACCACCACCACAGCTAGCATCACCACCATCATCATCACGGCCATCACCACCACCACCATCATCATCATAGCCAGCCTCATCACTACCATCACCATCACAGCCGTCATCACCACCATCACAGCCGGCATTACCGTCATACTTGGCCAGCACGGCTTGCACATCTGCGTAGGCCTGTAGCTCCAGGAGAGCTTCCAGTAAATTTTCATGAATATTTAACACATTTGGTAGAGGGAACTCTTTCATGAGCTGCAAAAAAAAGAAGCAAATATGCAATTCGAAACGTGAGTTATGAACAACGATCGTTAAAGAACACCTCCCGTTTGTTTGTAAACGTTTTATTTAATTATTGTAATTAATGTTTCTTTTTTTCTTTTTGTGTAACACAATTGCCGAACGCAGGCCCGAAAGGGCCCAGAATCTTAAACGCTCAGCAACTTAACATCATAAATAAATGTTGTCTTCTTGACATTGAGCAAGGTTAGTCTACGAGCTTAGGGATGGAAAGAGGATGGGAGAAAATTACGAAGCGGAGCAGCGCACGAGAAGAAGCAGAAAGTGTTGAGACCTGCAGTTTGGTGAGTGGGTGTGGTGAGTGGGTGTGGTGGAGTTAGTGTGGTGAGTGGGTGTGGTGAGTGGGTGTGGCGAGTGGGTGTGGCGAGTGAGTGTGGTGAGTGGGTGTGGTGAGTGGTGAGTGGGTGTGGTGAGTGGGTGTGTTGAATGGGTGTGGTGAGTGGGTGTGGTGAGTGGGTGTGGTGAGTGGGTTGTTGAGAGCGGTAGCCTAACAGTTAGTGGGCTGCACTACGAACCCGGCCACCTGGGTTCGATTCCTGCTCACGGTCGACACCAGTGACGATTATCTGAACCGGTCCTGGGCCTCCCCTAGGTCGACTGAGCCTCAAATGAGCACCTTGGTGCAGTGTGTAAACATTGCCACTGGAGAGGCAAAGGCGGCCGGACATGACCACTTGCCCCAACAGTCTGTTAAGGCTAAAGGAGGGGATTTTTATCGTTGTCTTGTGTGTTGCTGAGACCTGCAGTGTTGTTAGTGAGTGGGTGGGTAGGTGAGTTGTTGTGAGCTGCAGTGTGGTGGCTGAACGCGCTGTGGATGAGACGGAGCGATCAGTCTGGTCGCGGGTGTACGGGTGTGTGGGTGTGTGGGTGTGCGGGTGTACGATTGTGGGTGAGCGCAGATGTGCACACGCACTCAGAAATAAGTGTGTGTACGCATTAACTGCTTGCCGTCAATGTAATGTAATACAGGCCGCCCTCGAACCGAAGTCAGGTTACCCTCCAGAAAAAGTGCCGTACGTCAGAACGACGCTAAGAAACAATGATATAATAGGGCGTTACGTTCCCGATATGAATACAAACTGCATATTTGATCAACTATCAATCACGCAATGAGGTCACGAGCGTCACCCCACACTGCACCACCCTGCCCTCCCAGGTTCAACGTAAACGACGCAAAGTCTGCGTAGACGATGCAACGTCTGCGCCGACGTTCCGTACGCGCGCGCTGGGCGTATACAGGGCGTCCGCGAAGGTACAGCCCACTACAGGAGGCAGGCATTATAATGAGAGAGCGGTCGGTAAAACTGTAAAACTGGAAATGAACAAAGATAAAGATCCCCCGTACAAACTGTTGGGGCAAGTGCTGTTCGCGAACGCCAAACAAGCAAAGGCAACAGATAAGGCGATACACGGGGGATCTTTTTTTAAATCCTTTATATTAAGTTCATTTGCTTGCTTGCGCGCTTACGACCGTGCAAATCTTTCGGTCGTTTTTTAACCCACTTCCCGTGATACAATCGAGCTGACATTTTGCACACAGACTCGTTGTGCGTGACAATTTATTTTCGTGAAAAAATGTTTCCAAAATTTTCCACTTTTTAGGAAATTTTTTTTTCAGATTTTATTTAGAATACCAATGTGATAAAAATGAAACTCTTACTCAAGAAAAACAGAAATGAATAATAAAATAAAACCGATGCCATGCATATAAAGGATTTATAGTGAAAAACTTAGTTTTATGGGTTAGTTTATTCTTTGTTTGTTAGGTGCTCGCTTGTGGGGAGGTGGTAGCGTAGCGGCGAGCGCTACGAACCTGGCGACCCCGAGTTCGATTCCCGCTCACGGCTCACGCAGGCGTGAACGCTCTGCCAGTTGTGTGTTCGCGCGAGTCTGGTTCCTCTCAGCCCGCAGTCGTGCGGCCCTGCCGGCAGCGGACGTCGACGTTTGACGCGATCGCAGGTGTGCTCGCCAGACATGTCGCGAGCGTGCGGTCGTTTCAAATGCCTCTCGTTACGTGCTCTTGAAAATCACTCAAGCTTCTCATTTTTTGGCAAACTTTTCCGCCACATAAACCACAACATTCACCCAACGCCGTTCCAAACTGCTGTCGAATTATAATTCTTTAATAATAATGGATGAGATCTTCATGGATACCCTGTGTGTATATATATATACAGTGTGTGAATACAAAAACAAATATCCCTCGTATTTCCTTTTCAGACTGTTGGAGCAAGTGCTGTTAAGCAAGCACCTATGAAGGCTGGCACGGCACACAAGCAGGTGGTTGTGGCCAGCACCATGCCAGGCCGCCTTTGTCTCCGCAGTGGAAATGTTTACACGCCACAGCGGGTACTCATTTGAGGCCGAATCGACCTAGGAGAAGCCCAGTTCAAATAATCGTCACCGGTGTCGAGGTCGCGCAGGTTCGTAAGCGCAGCGTGCTGCCTGCTACACTACCGTGTGAATATAAACACACACCAGTAACTGAAAAGTAATTGCAAGCAAGCTCTATTGGTTTTAGAAATACGGTAGAACCCCTCTTAACGACCATCCCTGTCCACGACTAATCACTTAACGACAAACTGTTGAATAATAACATTTTGTCTTTTTTTCACTTCACTCGATCGAATTCCAGCACCGGGACTTTGCTCGGTTCGTTCTGTGGCATTGCGACGAACACCGCTTTGCAGGGCATCGGCAAGGCGCGACCCCTTGCCGCAGGTCAACAAGTCGGCTGCAGTGGCCCCCGGTCGTAGTGATTTTAGCGAGATCGTCTTCCTGGGCCCGTTCACTGACACAAGGCGATGCACCGCTTTCGCCGCATTGTGCTCCGAATGGTTCTTCTTTCTCGGATGATACGACACCGATAGCAGGCATGGAAGTGAATTGGGACCAAAAAGAAATAACTTTTCACTTTTTAAAGCGTTTCTGATGGTAAAAAATTATTTAAATTTAGATTCAGCACACCTTAAAGCCTCCATATATAGCCCATTGTAGACCTAGGGCTGCCCAAAGTAAAAAAATATATATATTTCTAAGAATAGTCTGGGCTATAACCATTTGAAACCTAAGCTCTCTGGCCGATTTTCAACAAGAAAATTAAACGCATGCCAAGAACGAAGGAGAGAGATGCATGTTGGGAATTCAGGAGAGAGAGAGACAGAAAGAGGAGCGCATGGATCAGGGAAGTAACGCAAATTATAAACATTTAATAATCCAGGAGAGGACGCTTGGTAGCAGGACAAAAATAAAATATGCTTAAAAATCACGAGAACCGGAGCGCCGTGCCGGGAGGCAGACCGACCGGCCGATGCATGAGAGACAATGGACAAGTTCCGGAGGCAGACCGACTGGCCGAGGGAGACTGAATGTGGCATCGCAGGACTGCCATTGACGGCATCGACGTGACGAGGCCTTCAGCGCGCGCTGATGTCGGGTGGAGGCCTCGCAAAAGCAGAAGTTCGACACCACGCGCACACACACACATAGTGCGCGCGTGGCGTCGAACTTCTTCCACGCTGCACGCAGCCAAACTGCGCTAAATCGGATCCGCCGGGGGACTCCGCGGGTTCATTTGACGCGGGGTTCGAGCGACGCGGCGAGGGAGAGGCGCGCGTCACTTACGTCTCTCATCATTTTGACGGCCTCCCTCGTGCGGCCCAGCTTGCGAGCGCACATGGCGAGCCGCCGCTTAATGTACACCAGTACGTTGGTGTCCCGTCCTGCCACGTCACGCGCGCGCGCAGGGAATCATCGTCAGCGCCTATCGCCCGCTTCACCACATTTATTCGTATTATTCTAATAAAGGTGCGTTTATAAAGTGCCTTTCCACAAAGTTGCTCACGGTGCTGTACATCGCGATGAATACCAAAACGTGTCCGCCAACGGGAGGGAAGACAAAGACGTTTAGAAGCGAATTAAGAGAACCGACAACGGGAGAGAATCAATGCGTCTTGAGGTGGGGTTCAAACCACATGGCCTTTGTCTCAGAACTGCAAACAACGCTGGGCAGGGCGCTGCACAGCCGGGGAGCGGCGCAACCCTGCGGAGTTCCGGCAGCGCTCCGACTTTGTAACGAGCGTCAACCACCACACTCGCTGTGCCGCTCCACGCTCAGTGCGGCACGCTCTACACCACACCCTCTGTGGGGTTCAACCTATACCACACCCTCTGTGGGGTTCAACCTATACCACACCCTCTGTGGGGTTCACCCTATACCACGCACTCTGTGCGGTGCGCTGTGTGGTTCACCCTATACCACGCCCTCTGTGCGGTGCACCCTATACCACGCCCTCTGTGCCACGCCCTCTGTGGGGTTCACCCTATACCACGCCCTCTGTGGGGTTCACCCTATACCACGCCCTCTGTGCCACGCCCTCTGTGCGGTGCACCCTATACCATGCCCTCTGTGGGGTTCACCCTATACCACGCCCTCTGTGGAGTGCGCTCTGTGCTACGTGCTCGGTGCCACGCTCTCTGTGCGGTACGCTCTGTGCCACACTCTCCGTGCGGTGCGCTGTGTGCGGCATGCGCTCACTGTGCTGCGCTTCGTGCTGCGTGCTGTGGTGCTGGAGTTGCTGGCTGCGCCTGTAGCACGATTCTCCGGCCTTGAGCGCCAGCTTGAAGAGCCGCTCCGCCTCGACGATGGTCGTGGCTTCTTCCTCCGCCAACAGGATGTAGGCGGAGGCGCACCTGGCGATCGCAGCACAGACACACGCCATCGACTCCAGCACGATGACCTCCAACCACGCATCATACGGTGGCGAGATGTCAACTACCTCTAGATTTGAAGCTTTCGTGACTGCAAGGATTCATATTCTTAGTTCTTTCGGTAAAGTCACGTAGGTAAAAAATGAAATTAAAATTAATAAAAAATAAAAACAATAAAATCACGACGTTTCGGAGGCAACACAAGCTTCCGTCTTCAGGTGAAACTGTCACATCTTGATACAGATTTTTTGCTGTGTATTGCCTCCGAAACGTCGTGATTTTATTGTTTAAATTTTTTATTAATTTCATTTTTTATCCTACGTGACTTTACCGAAAGAACTAAGAGTATGTCAACTACCTCTCCCGGTATGCAGGAGGTCGTGGGTTCGATCCCGACCCTGACGCCTGCTGTATATTTGGAGTTTGCGGTGTCTCTCTCTCTCTCATCATCATCACGGTGGCTAGGAAATGTCAACTACCTCGCCCAGTATGCAGGAGGTCGTGGGTTCGATCCCGCAGGTGCAAGTAAGCGCCATTTTTTGTCGTCTTATAAACGGTGACATGACGCACGCGGGTCGAAAGAGATGGCGCAAACGTGTGGGAGCAACGGGCGCCAGAAAAGAGTGAGGTGCAGGTGCAAGTAAGCCTCCGCGTTTTTGGTATAATAAAGAGGTGGGAAGGGGGCGCGCGCAAGCCGATCTACATCCATTCCTCATCGGCAGCCAAGCAAGGCGCACATTTGTTCTGGGAGCAGAGGCATCGCAAAAGTCAAAACTACCCCGAGCAAGGTCACATCCAAAAACCAACCGCGCACAACACACACAACAATGCTTAAAGTACAAACACATTTGAACCGTGTTATAAAATGCGCCACGGATGATCTTTTTTTTCTCCGTGTTACAGAATAAACATTATTCGAATTTTTTCCCCCAATTTTTTTTTTGGTGGAAATTTCCAGAAATGCAACATTTGCGACGCTTTTTTTTTTGACAGCAGGGACAACGACGCGGAACTTGACAGAGCCGCCGGAGAACCCGGGGCAATGACAGCGCCCAGATTAAGGTTCTTGTAGGCCCGAGGCACTTCTGTTTCGTTAGGCCTCCAGTGATAACTTTCTACAATTGAGACTGCCGCCCCATGTAACTACCGCTGTCACCGTCACTCCGCTTGTCCCACGCGGTACTTCGTCCAGCCGCTGGACAGATGTCGTCCATCTACACACAAGCATTTGAAGATGTTGCTGCTAATTTTTCAATGAAAAAAAATCTCTAAAAGTTCATCTCCGGTTGTTAATTTCTCTCACCTTATGAACAAAATGTTTTTCATTTGGAAATACATTGTGCCTATCCTTGTTATATATATATATAAAATACATTTACTTATCATACAAAAAACAAGGTCAACATTTTTTTTCCCTCGCCTGCAAGTGTTGCGATGGACGGCGCTCTGGGTGGAACAACGCAATGGACGGGGCCCCTGAGTGGCACCGCCAGATCTGTTTTCAACACCCAACGCCGAGTAAGAACGCTCATAGAAGACGATTCTCGTATATTCGATGTTTAAGATTGTTGCGTTTAGATCATTTGGCTGCATTGACAGGCCGACACTTTTTTTTTGAGATATCGTTTGTGGCCAGGTCGCTTTTCGAAATAGAGCTATGTAGCTCAGTGGGCCTTACGTGATGTAAAAAAAAAAGCTTAGTTTAGTAGGATGTTTTTATTTGGCCAGTGATTGCGAGTGAAATTTTGGACCGCTCCTCTAACCTCACCCCATCCTAAACCGCATCCACTGCACAAACCATGGCGGACGCAGACACCTGATGCACAAATGAATTAAAAACTCTCCGGCGTGCGACTGTGGTCATCCAGAACAGACTGTACAACGTATAAGGACGCAATGCCCAATCCACAAATACGAAGAAGACATCACTGCGATACACTACGCCGCTGCTCTTGACGCAGTTATCTGGCTTGACCCCCTGAGCGTGACATTGTAGTCGTTGCTCTGCATCCACATCAGCCGTACGAAAGAAGATTTCCACGCGATAAGCCACTACGTTGAGCTATCATTTGTGGCCAGGTCACTTCTGAAAAATAGCTATCTCGCCGAGCGAGCCTTAACCGGTAAAATAAAAATGATTTACCGGTTAATGTTTACATGGGTACTGAAGTGTTGCCGGTTCTATAATGGTTTACATTGGCTCGAACAAAAGAAAAATGCAGAGATGAGCCGAGTGTAAATTCTGTTTCTCACTGTATATATATATAGCCATTTCCGAATGTGACAAAACTTACTCAATGTTTTCCCAACGTGGACACAAAATAAGGTAGCCAGCGGAGGCGATGTCTCTACATGGCGTCGGCGAGGTTCTCAACTCCGCAGCATCACCCGGGAACATCATGAACGCTGCAAAGCATGTGCTGTCTGTCAGCAAACAGTATACCCCACCTGTCATCTCCAGCATGCCCCATGAGCAAGAAAATCATAACACACACTCATCTGCCTCCAGAGCAACAAGCACTCAAAAGTGGCTCTCTGTCCCGTCCCGCGAAGGAGGCCACAAAAACGTTGTCAAAATACTGCCCCCCCCCCCGCCCCTCCCCCCCCCCGCGTCGGAAATGTGCGCACGGCACGGCACGCCACGCCAAATGGATCCAACGTGCGCGCTACCGCGCCGTGACGTGGCACAAACGGCTAATAATGTTCATTCCTGTTCCGGGCGACTTCACAACACAGACATTCCCGTGAGAATAGGCGTGCTACATTTATGAAATGCTCACCGGCTCCCAACCCAACGCCAATCCCTACCCCCAAATCAGTCAACAAAGAGGTACCGGTGTGGTCAGGCGTCGGCTCCAGGGGCCGGCTGCCACAGCTCACTGGCACCGCCACGGCGAGAGGCCTTGACGACCTCGTGCACGCCGCAGCCACCGAGACGGCGCAACGACCGGCTCTCTCCACCGTGGAGAGACGGACAGCACGCACCCCACACACAACCACCTCACACACCACACCACGCACCACCACCCCACCACACACAACCACCACCACCAACCCACCACACACAACTACCTCATGCACCCCACCACCACCCCACTACGCATGCACCCCACCACCACGCCACACACAACCACCTCACACACCCCACCACCCCACCACACACAACCACCACCACCACCACCCCACCACACACAACCACCACCACCAACCCACCACACACAACTACCTCATGCACCCCCCACCACCACCCCACTACGCATGCACCCCATCGCCACGCAACCCGCCACCACGCCACCACGCCACGCACCCCACCACCACCCCACTCACCCCCACCACCACACCACCACCCCACCACTATGCCATGTACCACATCGCCATGCACCACATCGCCACGCACCCCACCAAGCACGCAACGCACCCCACACACGCCACTTGCTCTTCATCTCGCCCTACCCCAACCGCCACCACCCCCCCCCCCCCCCGCCCTCCCTCCCTCCTTTTCTCATCTTCACTCTTTTTAAATACTTTTTGTGTTCAGTTTGTGATCCTTCCCTCCCGCCTCACCTCCGATTAGCTACGGTTGGTTGGCTACGTACGGTGCGAAATAAGTTCCACGTGCGTACGTAAGTGACAGCGGCATTTTCAATTTGTCACTGCCAACCCACGCACTGCAGCTCGCCCGGCCGCCCGCGCGTAATGAATAACCGGGCCACGCTTCTTCTCGAAATGCCGGAGATGACCACTCGAAGCCTGCGTCACATGTAGTGTGGGGGGGGGGGGGGGGGGGATCCCCGCAGAGGGAAAAAAAATGAAGGGCTGATTAAAACCGTTCAATGGTCGGGAGTAAAACTGGAACCATTTCCAAAATGTTGGAGAGATTTTATTGAACACATTCTACAATAACCTTGCCTTTCCCTTTCCAGGCCACACACTGCTGTTATTGACAAGTGTGTTGAGGTGTTGCTATTTGTGCTTGAGCACCGATGCCAACACAGCAGCAGCAGCATCACCAAATAGCTTAGCTACATCTACAGCGCTCAGGAAGGGCTCTTGGTAAACGGAGCGCTACACGAAACAGCACGATAGGTCACTACATCATGGTTCCAATTGAGATGCGTTACCGACAGCGCTATAGGAAACAGCACTATAGGATGTCACTATAACATGGTTCCAATGGAGATGCGTTACTGACAGCGCTATAGGAAACAGCACTATAGGAGGTCACTATAACATGGTTCCAATGGGGATGCGTTACCAACAACGCTATAGGAAACAGCACTATAGGAGGTCACTATAACATGGTTCCAATGGAGATGCGTTACCGACAGAACTATAGGAGGTCACTATAACACGGTTGCAATGGAGATGCGCCCTCTTCGTAACTCCGCGGCAACCATGCATCGGACCCTCCGCCCGAACACTCAAGGTGTTGCCGGATAAACGTGCCAAGGATGCGTGCCGCCCTTGGTCGCTCCGTCACACGTACGAGCCGCTGAGAAATTCATTACAGAGCATTGCGGTTAGAGGAAACGTCATCGGGAACGATGGGGTCAACGATTCGATGCTTCTCGTTCAACCGGCGCAGGGCGCGGCCAAATTTAAACGCAGAAAACGTTGGAATATGTTCAGCAATTTAAACTATTGATGAAGCCAACTTATTGCCAAGTATCAAGCACCACATCGTCTCTGTACAATTGCATGGATCCAGCCAATTGAAGTAGGAAAACCATAGCAATGGTTAACATGCCAAACGAGCTTAAAATACAGCCAAGGAATGCGCCAACTTAGTTATTGGCTTTTTAAAAAATCTATAAATTTGTGTTTAACAATCACCGTCACAACGTGGACAATGAAGTTGAACGAGCAGAAGGATGATTTTGTGCATGCAAAAGCAATTCTGTCAAATTAAGGCAAAAATAAATAATAATTCTGACCCACAACTTGTATTAACCTTCAACGCTTTGGCGGGGATAGAATGTGCC